AACCTTCTTGGGTTTAGGGTTTAACGTTAGGGTTTAGGGTTTAGGGTTTAGGGTTTAGGGTTTAGGGTTTAGGGTTTAGGGTTTAGGGTTTAGGGTTTAGGGTTAGGGCTGACCTTGGGGCTCTGTTTACCTGATATCCTTTTGTATGTGGGAATCCACATTGATGTATCGGGCACGGCACTTTTATGGCAAGGGTTTGGGAGTCGCAGGTTCACCCTAAAGCCGAGAAAATCCTGAACCTGGACCGCTCTTGAAACCTTTTGGGGATTTAGGGTTTAGGGTTTAGGGTTTAGGGGTTTGGGGTTTAAGGTTTACGTTTAGTTTGCTCAGCTTGTAAGAGACCACGAAGGCAAGTTAGGTAGACCCTAGAACCCTAGAACCCTAGAACCCTAAACCCTAAACCCTAAACCCTAAACCCTAAACCCTAAACCCTAGACTTCCGAAACCTCCTGAAGGCCTCTGAGCCCTCTAGGACCCCATAGACCTTGCAAACCGTATATTTAAGCCCTACATACCCTGTTTTTCCCTCTTAAACTACTCTAAACCCAAAACCCTAAACCCTAAACTATGAACCAGATGCCTTAAACACATCCTGTAACGTGCGTGCCAGGGCTACGGGTAAACGAGCGCCTTGGGGTTCCCTCAGGAGGGCTTAGGGTTTAGGATTAGCCCTAAACCCTAAACCCTAAACCCTAAACCCTAGACCCTAAGCCCTAAGCCCTAAGCCCTAAGCCCTAAGCCCTAAGCCCTAAGCCCTAAGCCCTAAGCCCTAAGCCCTAAGCCCTAAGCCCTAACCCTGAACCCTAAACAATAAACCCTGAACCCTAAACCCTACCAACCTGAATCACTGAACTCCTGAACATCGGCAGAACCACCAGCTGCAGAAGATTGAAGCCAGGCACAGGTAGTAGTACTTTCCCCCAACAAGCGCCGTTCCGGGAATTTTAGGAGTTCGGGGAGGGGGGCGGGGACCTCGGACTTATGAGATCGTGGCGGATTGAGGTCTCCCCTTCCTTGCTCCACGCCCCTCTCTCCCCCTGTCGTCGTCGTCGTCGTCGTCGTCGTCGTCGTCGTCGTCGCGGAGTCGGTGTATTCCACTAGCAGTAGCAGGCAAACAAAGCCTGTTTTGGGAGCCCCTGCGATTAAAAAAACCCAAATCCTATCAACCAAACCCTAAGCCCTGAACCGTAACAGAAACCGAAACCCTAAACCCTAAACCCTAAACCCTCAACCCTCAACCCTAAACCCTAAACCCAATCAACCCCAAATCCTCACAAGCCCCAAAGCAACGGGCGGGGATGGAGAACCAGGCGATTACCGAGAAGTACTACTGGTCACAATCCTTGCAGGAGGCCGGCTGGGTGAACTCGGGGTTGAGTTTGAGGACTTTGGGGTTTAGGGTTTAGGGTTTAGGTGTCTTGGAGGGTGTTTAGGATGTTTACGGGGTGTAGGGTTTGGGGGATTGAGGGTGTTGAGGGTTTAGTTTAGTTTTTTTTGGGGGGGCGGGGGATTGGGTTTTTAGAGTTTTTAGGGTTTAGGGTTTAGGGTTTAGGCTTGAGGGTCACAGGGGTCTGCTTGGGGCTCGATGCGTCGGTGAATTGTCAGGGTTCTGGGATTACGGGCACGGCTTGCGGCTCAAAAGCCCTAAGCCACAGACGCCAGTGCCCTCCAGTTTGGTTCGTGGGGGTTAGGGTTTAAGGTCCAGGGTTCAGGGTTCAGGGTTTAGGGTTTAGGGTTTAGGGTTTGGGAGTGTTGGGGTTGACGAAATCGAAATAGTTTAGGGCTCAGGGTTGTGAAGCTTGACCTTCACAGGAAGGAGGCACTTGCGTAGATGAGATGCTCGAGGTGCCTGGGATAGGAGCGACAGCGCAGTTGATGCAGATCGGGGGGTTTTACGAAAACAGGGGACCCCGAATATAGACCCCCAAATAGCAGGATCCCCTTATAATGAGGACCCCTCAAAAGGTACCCCTAATTTCGTGATCCCCCATCTGCTTCAGCAGCCTAGTTAGCAGCGTTAAGGGTTCAGGAGTAAGGGTTGTTAGAAGCCATAAACCCTAAACCGACCGAAACGAGTCCTGGGAGGCCGTGACATGTACCCTAAACCCTAAACCTAAACCCTAAACCCTAAACCCTAAACCCTAAACCCTGAACCCTAAACCCTTTCTAGTACCACGTTAGTATCCCCGAAAAGAACCGGCCATGTCGGGACACACCAATCGCCCTCAGGAGCCCTCAATCCATGCACCAACAGCCTAAACCCTAAGCCCTAAACCCTAAACCCTAAACCCTAAACCCTAAATCCTAAACCCTAAACCCTAAACCCTAATTAGTCTGAACCCTACTCCACCCCGTGATGCTAAGGCGAATTCTTCTCACGTAACCCTAAACCCTAAACCCTGAGGGCTTCCCATGCAGAATCTCCTGAGAATTTCTCGACCCTCTCAAAAAACTGTTAGAAACCTGCAGCACTCAAGTCCTGAACTCTCAGCCTAAAGCCACAGAACCCTGCGGTAGGGTTTAGGGTTTAGGGTTTAGGGTTTAGGGTTTAGGGTTTAGAGTTTAGGGTTCAGGGTTTAGGGTTTAGGGTTCAGGGTTCAGGGTTTAGGGCTTGAGGATGCTTGTGTGCAAGCCCTGAACCCCCATATCCCGCGAGGTGACGGTTGAGGTAGACGTTGGCAGCTGCAAGGCCGTCTCCCTCTTGCTTTGGGCCTCTTCCGTGCAAGGAAGGGGGGTTTGGGGTTTGGGGTTTGGGGTTTAGGGTTTGGGGTTTAGGGTTTAGGGGTTTAGGGGTTTAGGGGTTTAGGGGTTTAGGGGTTTAGGGGTTTAGGGGTTTAGGGATTAGGAGTTAGGGTTTATATGGTTTAGGGTTTAGGGTTTAGGGTTTAGGGTTTAGGGTTTACGGTACAGGGTTTAGGGGTTGTCTCACAAAGGGGGATTGATTGTAGCCTGTTTGGTGAGTTCCTAGAATAAGGAGTTTTAGTATATGGACGATACTCAATTTATGGACATGGTTCCTGCACCCTTTCAAACTGGCTGTGTAGGTTTTTGGGTATGGGGAACTACCTGCACCCTTGTTTCGGATAGAAAAGGGGTTAGCTATGCTAAATCCAAAACCCTAACCTCTCAAGGCTAGAATAAAACACCCGTTCGCGATGTCCCATTGCAAACAGATTTGGTTACAAAGGGCCCTAAACCCTAAACCCTAAAATAACGAATGTGTTTACTGGAACCCCCCTGCCCCCCTCTCCCCTCCCCCCCTCTCCCCCCCTCTCCCCTTCCCCCCCTCTCCCCTTCCCCCTCCCCCCCTCTCCCCCTCTCCCTCTCCCTCCCCCCCCCTCCCCCCCTTCCCCCCCCTTCTCTCCCCCTCCCCCCCCCTCCTCCCCCCCCTCTCCCCCCTCCCCCTCCCCTCCTCCCCCCTCCCCCCTCTCCCCCCCCTCCCCCCCCCCCTCCCCCCCCTGCCCCCTCTTCCCCCCCCTCTTCTCTTCTCCCCCCTCTTCTCCCCCCCTCTTCTCCCACCCCTTTTTCCCCCCGCTTTTCTCCCTCTTCTCCGTCCCTCCTTCTCCCCCCCTCTCCTCCCCCCCTCTTCTCCCCCCCCTCGTCTCCCCCCCCTCCCCCCCCTCTTCCCCCCTCTCTCCCCGCCCCCCTCTCCCCCCCCCCCTCCCCCCTCTCCCCCCCTCTCCCCTCTCCCCCCCTCTCCCCCCCTCTCCCCCCCTCTCTCCCCCCCTCTCCCCCCCCCTCCCCCCCCCCCCCCCTCTCCCCCCTCTCTCCCCCCTCTCCCCCCCCTCCCCCCCTCCCCCCCCTCTCCTCCCCCCTCTCCCCCCTCTCCCCCCCTCTCCCCCCCCTCTCCCCCCCCTCTCCCCCCCTCTCCCCCCCTCTCCCCCCCTTCCTCCCCCCCCTCCCCCCCTCTCTCCCCCCCCCCCCCCCCGGTTTCCGAAGAACTTTCCACCCATCCCAACCCTGACTCCCGGATTCCCAAACCAGGTTTAGGCGTTTATTAGGGTTCAGGGTTTAGGGTTAGGGTTTAGTTTTAGGGACTTAGAGTTGGAGATTGTTGACAACTTGGAGCTTCACGAAAAAGCCCCCTTGAAGGCCAAGACTTGGCTCGACGTGTCAGCGCGGGGAATCAGATCAGGGTAAACCCTAAGCTCGGCATACCTGGGTTTCAGGGTCCAGCTTTTTCTACCCCAAAGCCCGTCTACACCCTAGCACCGCCAAATGCCCCTAAGCCCTAAACCCCTAACCCTAAACTCTAAACCTTAAACCCTAAACCCTAAACTCAACTCCCTGTACGAGGCTTCCGACGTAAAAGTCGAAATCACTCCCACCAGGCGCGTCTTGTGCAATCCGCTGCGCTGTCCCTGTTTTAGGGTTTAGGGTTTAGGTAACAGCTCCAACCAAACTCAATCTTGTATGATTATTGAGTTCTTATCCGGATTCTGGTTCCGATTTTTCTGCAAGCAAGTCTTGTTTCAGAAGCCTTTAGAGCGAGAGTAGGTTGCTTGAGGCCAGACGTTTATATGGGTATTTGCGGCACTTTCAGCATCGTCATTCCGTGTATGAGGGGAATAGAAAACAGACCTCTGAATTGAAAATCTTGGGGCGGTTTTGGGGGGGTGGTGACATATATACATATATATGCTCACCCCCCCCCCCCCCTCGACAGACCCCGGAAGCGAAAAAAAGGCTGAGGGCGCGACGGACAGCATGGCTGCACACAGTAGCCAGACCCGTTAACACACAACAGGGCATTTGTACATATATGTATTTTCGATTGATACGGTTCTGTGTTGGCTATGAAAGATGCAGAGGGATGTGAGAAGGACGCATACTGTAAGCCGAAGGGGTAGCATTCATAATCGTATTTCGGCAGAAACACAACACAAGCGAGAGTGCACGAAATAGCACCTTTATAGCGTGGCTGCAGCTGCAGGGGAATCCTCAAAATCTAATGCTCTGAGTCTTTCGGAGCGTCGGCTAGCGAGACGACAGCGCGAAGCTCAGTAGTTAAACAATGCCTCCAACATCACTCCCGCGCTGGTCCAGGCGTTCTTGGTTCGGAACCAGTATGTAAACTGGGCGGCCCTGATTTTGCGTCGGAGAATCAGATTGCCAGGTGCTCGACTCGTGTGCTTGATGTGTGTGCGAACATGCCCCCAGAACCGATCGATGATCTGCGTTCCGGACTTGACCTTGAGAGTCTTTTTGTTGGGCAGCTTGAGATTGTACACTTTGGTGTAGTGCGGCTTGACCCAAACGACCTGTTTATCATAAAAAACACATAGACATGTATGGAGTGCAAGATAATATAGTTTTGTTATGAAAAATAAAATAGCTAATGTTTTATAAGATGATTTAAAACCCGCCTTCTTGTTGACAATCGTTCTTTTTTTCTTGTGCACGACATTACAATGGCAAACTCCAGGAAGCTTCAGCTTGTATGCCCTGGCTCCATCTGTGTGCAAAACCACATGACGATCACTGAGAAGGGGGGTCCCAATCGCACGCCAGTCATACTTTCGGATTGGCCCTGGTCCTGGCGCTCGTGGCTTAGTGACAGGGGGGTTCAAGCGAAACAAGCGTAGCGATGCTGGCCTGCCCCTTTCTACCAAACCACACCATTGTTCCCATCTGACGACTTTACCTTGGCCATCAGTGGCATCCTCCAAACCCTTCCCCAAATCGACCTCGTCAGCCTCAACATCTACCCAGGTGGAGTCATTGGGGCGACCATAGGTAATGGACTTTTCCTCTTGCTCCACATACCTTGCCCGAGCCACATCTAAATTGTTGTAGATGCGCTCCACGGGCTTGTGATCGACGTCCATGATAAGGTGTGCGGAGTTAATGGGAACACCGGCGACGGCTGCGTAAAGGATGGCGGCCTGAGCCTTCAAGGGGGTGACCGAGTTGCCGTTCCCGCGAAAGAAGATGGGGTGAAAGTCGTCCACTTGCAAGTACTTCTTGCACCGCTTCCCACTACACTGATACATCCAGGACTCACGAGACTTCACGAACTTTAGCTTGCCGATTGTTCCCTCCCCACATCGAGGACAAGTCCAACCCTGCCAGTCCGGTAGTATCTTGTCTTTCTGGAGTGTCTTGACCAAGTCAAGGTAGGACATGGTCATGAAGGAGTGAATGGAACGACCCCACCGTTGATTGTGTGCTCGAAACTTTTCGGAGACGTTGCCATGACGAACGTAGGGGACGGAAGTGAACGTGTTCTTCTTGGAAGGCTTTTTCAATACAGCCCGCATTTTCCCGCGCTTGGGAGCGGGCCAGGGAGCTTTTGACTTCCTCTTGGTGCTCTTGGCATATGACTTTTTGGCCATGGTGCTACACTGGTTTGTACCAGAAGTGAAACTAAGGACCTTTTTCTGGTCTATACAAAACTGAGGCGACCACACAGGCAACATCTCTGAGGGTGCTTGCAATGTATTTCGTTGCATAGATGTCAGTTCGATTTTCTGCGGCGGCAAGGCTTCTGTCAAAACTGCGTGAGGCTGTCTTCGTGAACGGGCTTGCTTTCATTTCACAAACAAAGGTCTTATAAGAAAAGTATGGGGCTTCTAGGAATCTAGTTTAAATGTTATATATGAATATGTTAATTCTGATCTTGAGGAATACGTGTTCAAAAACCCTAAACCCGCACGCCTAAATCCTACACCCAACCCCCTAAAAATTTATTGAATAACAGAATAATATCTTATGGCTGAAAGGCTAAAATAAGTATAGCAGCCCGTCAATGCGCTCATATGTGATCTGTCATTGTGTGAAAGACTTACGACTCACTGCCGAAGGATGCCACATCCATCTGGTCCCCAGGCATGTCATCCATGATTTCCTCTAGGTCCCTCTCAAGAGTAGACAGGGCACCCCCTTCCTCGCAGCCATCTGGCGCTTCGCCCACCCTTGGAATTACGTCATCCCCATCCTTCGTTTCCTCGACATCAGAATTCTCATGAAGATGAAGAAAGTCAGGGTTGCGAACTGCGAGATCGTTGACCTTGACCTTCTTAGGAGACGGCGATTCCAAGTCGATGGGTGCATGGAGAGACTGTGCTGACAAAGCCCTTGCCCATGTGATGCGCTCACGCTTGACGCGAACTGCTTCTAACAGTGGTGCAGGCGGAGGGACAGCGTCTGGACTATCATGCCGACGAATGGCCTCCTGCAGCCAAGTGTTTTCCCACAGAAGACGGCTCTCCTGGTCTGCAGGGGGGGGACCTTTCTTTCTGAAGTTTGCGATGATGTGCTTGGAGGACGGCTTGACGAGATCAGGGAGAAGCCAACTCATGCGGTTCACGTCCTTCTCAATGGGCCCTGGAAGACGCCAGTACACGGATGTTTTTGACACGAGGATGAATGCTGAGCGCTTCAAGATAGCCATGATGTCCACACTTGACATGTCTCCTTGCGAAACCAAGAGAAGAACATTACAAAGGCAAAACGCAGAACAGAGAATAGTAAAGAAGTCAATGTATAGAAATAGAGCATCCTTATGAAATCACGAGAATAGCATTCCAAGAGCAAGACAAACAACATATGGTGTTGAAGCATTTATACTTCTTATCTGTAATTTTGAAAAAACACAACTATATATAGACAAGTTTCCCAATGCCGGACGAATGAGCTTGATGAAGGTATCGTGGTCAATCACAGGGTCTAGACCTGGCTCGATAGGGGGTTCATGTGCGGGCTCATAAGCATTGTCAATGACGACACGAAGCTGGTTCTGCTTGAATTTCGCAGCAGTCCAGCGCTCACGGGTGAGGGTCTCAGTGTCTGCCACATCAGAGAAAGCTTTTTTCTTTTTGACTGGCTCTAAGCCAATCTCCCCGTCGTCATATATGGCAGAGACTTCCTTGGAGAAGGGACACCCGCGAAAGTAGTCAAAGTCACTAGCACTGCGATAACTGCCTCGACCACCATGATTGCGAGAGAACATCATTGCGATCACCCTACCCAAAGGGGTTTTCCCTTTACCGGGCTCGCCAAGAATCCACAGTGCGTGCTCGCGAAGGTAAGGGGCAATTTTAGAAATGATGTCCTGGATTGCATCTTCGAAATCGGAAATGATGAGGTCCGAGCGAGTGATGAGCTCAGCCATTGTGGCATCCGTAGCGAGACTGTCGAGGCAACGCTGAACCAAACCATCCCTCCATCCCTTGATGGGCGTATTCCCGCTGATGTTTTTCTGAATCCAAAGTAGCTGCTTCAGATTCCCCTTGTCCCGCTCTCCCTCATCTCTGATGTACTGAAACCCTTTATCAAGTTCCTCCTCCGATTTCTCAGGGACGGCTTTGTTGCCCTTTCTCATGTCAGGAGCAAGTCCAAACATACGATATTGCGTACCTCCCATCTGCTCAAGCATGAACTGCAAGGCTTTCTTCGTGTTCTTTGCATTCTGCCCCCACACAATTTCGTAGAGGGTCCCGTAGCCTGCCTCGTGGATGAGGGGCAACTTGAGCTTGTCGTCTGGGACGTAGAAATGCTTGACAATGCATGTTTTCCCGTTGGACTGAGGCAGGAAGAAGAGCTGCATGACGTATTTGGCTTCGAGATTAGTTTTGAGGCCCAAGGGAGGAGGCAGTTCATCCCATGCCTGGTCCCGAAGAATAGGCCCTAAGGCATCGTGATTGATGACTCCTTCGTGATCAAAGACGATGTCGAAGAAATGTTTGATTGTGACCGCACGACACTCAAGATGACGAAGTGGCAGCACCAGTGGACTGATAGACCCAAGTGGCATAGGCCCGACGCGGACTGGTTGAGGAAGTTGCCGAATCAAGAGGTTCGCGGTGGCTTCGATCGCATTTGCGAGGCTTACATTCTCGGGATCCATGACGAGAAAGCAACGCGTGGGGGCGTACAAGAAGTAACTTGATATGTGAAGGCACTATGTCAGACAGCATGCACATATGGACGTGTAGTGCAGCAGCAAAGCGTTGCGACATGTGTGTGTGGGCAGAAGCGCAGCATCAAGCACTTTTCCTCGCACTTCCGTAAGCAACTCCAAAAGCTGTTGCTAGCAGAGCTCTCTGTGTTTTTAAATATATTTCATATTTCTCATGAGTGCAGAACCCCTAAAAGAAAAAACCCAAAATTCCTCGAGTTTCCAAAAATCCAAAAATCCAAAAATCCCAACCCAAGTTTCGGAATTTTGGAAACTCGAGGAATTTGCTCAAAATCCAAAAAAACCCAAAATTCCTCGAGTTTCCAAAAATCCAAAAATCCAAAAATCCCAACCCAAGTTTCGGAATTTTGGAAACTCGAGGAATTTTGGGTTTTTTGGATTTTGAGCAAATTCCTCGAGTTTCCAAAAATCCAAAAATCCAAAAATCCCAACCCAAGTTTCGGAATTTTGGAAACTCGAGGAATTTTGGGTTTTTTGGATTTTGAGCAAATTCCTCGAGTTTCCAAAAATCCAAAAATCCAAAAATCCCAACCCAAGTTTCGGAATTTTGGAAACTCGAGGAATTTTGGGTTTTTTGGATTTTGAGCAAATTCCTCGAGTTTCCAAAAATCCGAAACTGGGGCTGGGATTTTTGGATTTTTGGATTTTTGGAAACTCGAGGAATTTTGGGTTTTTTTGGATTTTGAGCAAATTCCTCGAGTTTCCAAAAATCCGAAAATCCAAAAATCCCAACCCAAGTTTCGGAATTTTGGAAACTCGAGGAATTTTGGGTTTTTTGGATTTTGAGCAAATTCCTCGAGTTTCCAAAATTCCGAAACTTGGGTTGGGATTTTTGGATTTTTGGAAACTCGAGGAATTTTGGGTTTTTTTGGATTTTGAGCAAATTCCTCGAGTTTCCAAAAATCCGAAACTGGGGTTGGGATTTTTGGATTTTTAGATTTTTGGAAACTCGAGGAATTTTGGGTTTTTTTGGATTTTGAGCAAATTCCTCGAGTTTCCAAAAATCCTAAACTTGGGTTGGGATTTTTGGATTTTTGGATTTTTGGAAACTCGAGGAATATTGGAGTGGTGCTCTGCCCCCCCCCCCCACTTCCTGGACAGATCGGAAATACAATTCCGGGGTCTGTCGAGGGGGGGGGGGTGACCATATATATATATATATACATATACATATACATATACATATACATATACATATACATATACATATACATATACATATACATATACATATACATATACATATACATATACATATACATATACATACATACACACATTTTTCCTTCAAGCCCAACCCCTGAGCCCTAAACACTGAACCTTTCAGAGGGCTTATGGCGGTTTTGGGGGGGTGGTGACATATACATATTTATATATATACACATACACATACACATACACATACACATACACATACATATACATATACATATACATATACAAATACATACATACACATACTTGCCCTTCAAGCCCAACCCCTATGCCCTGACTCCTAAACACTGAACCTGTCGGAGGGCTTATGCTTCCATGGTAAGAGCTTGCGCAAGCAACTTCGATGTCTTGCGTTTCTTCCACAGCTACCCGAAACCCTGAAGCCAAAAAGCCCTAAACCGTAAAGCCCCTAAGCCCTAAACCTTGGGTTCGGCCGGTCCACACTAACAGTCACCACCAGCAGACCCACAAAAAAAAGCACCCGGTAAATGCCAAAAAATTGACTGAGATTCCTGCTATTCCTGGTGCTATTCCTGGTGCTATTTCTGGTGCATTTTTTTGTGCTATTCCTGGTGCTATTTCTGGTGCTATTTTTTGTGCTATTGTTTGTGCTATTTCTGGTGCTATTTTTTGTGCTATTGTTTGTGCTATTTCTGGTGCTATTTCTGGTGCTGTTGCTGGTGCTATGTGACTAACAATCACCATCAGCAGACCCACAAAAAACAGCACCCGGTAAATGCTAAGCTGCTAAAATTGACTGGGATTCCTGGTGCTATTTCTGGTGCTATTGTTTGTGCTATTTCTGGTGCTATTTTTTGTGCTATTCCTGGCGCTATTTCTGGTGCTATTTTTTGTGCTATTGTTTGTGCTATTTCTGGTGCTATTTCTGGTGCTATGTGACTAACAGTCACCACCAGCAGACCCACAAAAAGAAGCACCCGGTAAATGCTAAAATTGACTGGGATTCCTGGTGCCATTTTTGGCCTGTGTGTTATAAGGCCACGGCGTTATTTGACTGTTAGTGTGGACCGGCCGAACCCAACCTAAACCCCTAAAAACACCTAAAAGGCCCTGAGCCCTAAAGCCCCAAACCCACACTCGAACTGACTGCACGCTTGTCAGACG